GCGGGAGGCGGCGCGGGAACGACAACAAAAAAAATAATAATAATAAATAGAAAGAGGAGGGCAGCGAATAAATAAATAAATAAGCGCCGGGCTCAAGCCCCGCCTGGCGCCGCCAGCCCCAATCCCTGMGCGGCGGGGCGCGGAGCGGGGCGGAGCTGCCCGGCCCCCCGGCCCGCGGCCGCGCACGGGGGGAAGGAGGGAGCGATGGAGGGAGGCGGGCGCGGGGGATCCGCGCAGAGCCCCCARCCCCGCGCATCCCTATCCCGCGTCCCGCTTCTCGGATAGTCACCTCTCCCTCATCCCCCAGCGCAATCCCGAGTCAAGGCGACGGCGSCGCGGCCGAAGCGAGGAAATAACGCGAAGACCTCGCAGTGAACGACTCCATAGGCGGTGCGAGAAGGGCAAGAAACGCAGCCGCCTTTGGTCGCAATAACGTCCCAGTTAAGTGCTGCCGGAAAAGAGCTCCGCCGAGGTTCGCAACAACAGAGGATGCCAAGGCTCTGGGCACCCTAACCCAGCCCTTTCATCAGGCTTAATAATGAGATTTATAGTATCCCTGGCAGACGGAACAGTAGCAAAATGCAGTTTACTACAGCCCAATTTAAAATATATCTAGCTATAAGAACTTAAAACCACTATGTCCCTTCATGGAGTACATATTTTGGAGCAATAAAACTTTTTACGTCAATGTCCACATTGCTGTAGCTTTAGAACAGGTCTATCAAAATAAAGTTTGAGACTGCACCCTTTGCTAACAATGAGCCACAAAAGAAGAGCCTGCAGTACTGCGGGGTTAGCCGATAAGTCATGGAAATACTAGTAGCTCCAGAGAGGTCCCCCAGACCCGGGATGAAAGATACCTCCAGACCCAAAGTCACCTRTGAGACATAAGTGCATTATCTGAGAACACCCACCAGCCAAAGAAGGACAAAAGTAATTGACATGATACACAGAACAACGTGGCCAGAAACCTACAGTTTTCTTCAAGCCAGATTTGAGGAAGTCAGAGTTCAGCTTCATTCAGTAGCCAAGTGAAAAATAACAGTTAATATAATTAATCTGTTTTGCTAGATAACAAACAACTCTGTATTTGCTATAAATACGGAGTGCCAAGAAAAATAATTGATTTCTCTCCATACAGAGGTACATAATTTTTATTTTTTTATTTTTTTTTTTTACCAACTTGAAGGACAAGTCCACTATCCACCATTGCCTTCAGCCCCATTGCCCTGCAGTACTTGTACAGAGATTTCTCCCTTTGCTTTCAATGGGGATTTTACTGGTGACAGCTGTAGATTAGGCCACTTGCCACGTTTCACAGAGTGGTTGTCCCAAGTCTAATTTATTCCTTTGGAGTAAAGGTTGTAACATTTCAACACCACAAAGTCTAGCCTGTGCAACTATCATTTTGATAACTTTTTCTTGTCTAGACTATGCTCATAAAAAACATCCCATGAATTCATACTGTTCTCAGTAATGAGCAAACATCTTCCTGTTTTATTAGCAATGTGTTATTTTGGCAAGTATGCCTAATCTTTTCTGGGTAATTAACACAACTGATTGCAAAGGAAGAACTGGCTCTAGAAAACAAGAGACTGAAGAGACCTTTGAGACCCACATCTTCACAACCTAAGGCTAACTATAAAACCAAATAAACTACATACTATGATCATTTAACCACTCAACTTTATTTTCCTCAAAAATATTTTCTGCTTCCCAATAAATTCTGAGAGAAAAATGATGGCACTGTTGAAGTCTGTGAAGTCAGAGTCACATCCTACGTTTCATTTAATGTCTAGCACTTCCTCCCTTTTGACATTAAGCAGAGCTTAGATTTGTGTCAGTGACAGCAGGATGAAGTCTTAAGTCATTGTTAGTTGGTTTTAAAGTGTTTTTTGTTCCATCATACCATATAAGAAAATCACTTGCTTTGCTTAAGATGCTTCTATTGCATGAGCTAAACAGATTGAGCTCAAAAAGCTTCAACAGGTTAAACAAAAGAAACCTGACAGCTTGTAGTTCTACTGCCAATGGTAATAGCCCTTGGAGTGCCTATCTCTAGTGATCAAACACTAACCTCAGTGGTGAATAGTGTATATAATACGCCAGTCTTCACTCTTCTGCTAGTTTCCAAAGAATACTCGGAAATACTTAGCTCCAAAAGAGATCTAAAATTGTCAAAGAACCTTATCACAACACAGCAAGGCTGTTATCAGCCAAATCAGCAGCAGCCTAATAGACAAAAAGTGTATCCAAGAGGGTTTTCTTTTGGAGCATTTTTTCCTCTAATGAACTAATATAATAAGCCACTTCACGTGATGATAGCATTAAGAGCTGTAAGTTTGCACTCAMAGTACAAGAAAGTGCAGTGATTTAAGGCTCAAGTCTGGCAAGATGCAGAAGCCAACTTGAATAAAAGCTCAATAATTAAACAGGAAAAATCACTATAAAAATATATCTTGAGAAAATTAACAGGTACAAATGACATCCTCCTCAGCAATGGAAGCTAACCAGTACTTGCTATAATTACTACATATCAAGTTAAATACATAGAGTGATCAAAGTGCTTGAAGATGTGTAAGCATTAGCATACAACAGTGTTCAAACTGAAATTTGATCACATTCCCACCAGTGTAATTTTGAAGCTGACAGTTTTTTTTTTTAGGCACAGATGAGATGAAACAGCAGAATCAAGGATATTACTATGAGCAATTTAAGGTGTACCTGAAGATAAGGTGCAAAGACATTGCTTCTTTAAGAAAGGTCTACATAGCCTTTTGTTTTTTTCTTCTCTTTTTTCCCCCCAAAGGAGATGCACAGGGAAGAATGCAGAGAAAGGCACAGAATATACAGTAATTCTCTCGAATGCTCTCCAAGCATTCAGSAGTCAGAGATGGCCTGGAGCATTTAGGAATCCTCAACACCTTTTCTTTTCCTAGGTCTCTTCTTGAACCTATTTTAACATCAACATCCTGTTTCCCAGGGCAAGGAGCTCTGCAGCCTGCACCTTCTACACCATTTGCACTYATCCATTCTGCACCCAAGCTCTTTTCCAAAGAGCATAGCAAGCAGTCAATYCCTCCTCATGATGGAATGAACCAGAAATGAAAAACGGAATTAGCATTTTACAAAACAAATCCTTTTCTAGGCTAAATTAAAAAAATCTARTCAGAATCCCCCCAGCATGGTACAAGTGCTGAAAAAACTTATTATTCACTTTGCCGAATGCCATCCCAAGACTTTTGTGCACTTAATTGAGAAATTGGGATTTTCTTCATAATCTCCAGATTTTTATTCATCATTTAGACCTTTAACTTGATGGTGAAAATCCTGAAAATTACAGCACTTTTATTCAAAAGAATTAAAAAGGCATTTTTTGTTTAATTAATTTACAATTTTTAATACAAGAGTCATGAAAATACACTAACTATATTTTACCATACATTTTTATGATTAGCTGCCAGACTTTCAGCTATTATTTCCTTTTTAAGGACCACTTCATATTCRGTGTCCTACATCTCTAATCTAAGAGTCCAAGCCTGCAAAAACTTAGACACAACACTTAGTTCCACAAACTAATTACTGTGAGAAATAGACTTAAAAGGCCTTAAACTTAAGTAGTACTCAAGACCCAGCAAAATATGAATCAAATTGTTTACTGTAGATTACCAAAAAATACACAMAAAAAAAACCAATTGGAAATAATGAGAAAACAGAATGAGAATAGTAGCTTTGAATAAGTTGTGATCTTTATGAACCACATCTTTGTAAACACATATGGCATCTGCTTGTTGCATACACTGGCCCTTAAAACAGCTGTGCATTTGGTAGTTCAAATATCACTTAACTTTATAGCAAAATAAGCTTGTTACTATGAAGAAAACAATCAACCATGTCTTTTTAATGATGGAGTGCTAGTGACCTCTAGTGCTATGTTTGCTCTGGGAGGTTTTCTTAAGACATCTAAGACTCCACATGTGGAAGGCATGATGCAACTCACTCCAAATAAGACTTGGCATCTACTACACGAAGTGACAGGCAGAAGTATGGAAAAAGAAAAAAGACATTAAGATAAAAAGCACACTTTTCAGTTAGTCAAGTTTTCTGGTTGTAGGTATCCAAGCAGAGAGTCAGTACAGGTCTTTGAAGCATGCTGAGGACCACCTGGCTTAGCAATTCCTAAATTGGGACTGCTGAAGTTAACTAAGCAAATACTCTTCTGAATGGCATAGAAAAAAAAAAATCTTTCCTTCCCTAGATCAGCTAATTAGATCTTTTCCTTCTCCAAAACATTGGGCGATTCAACAATGYTTTCTGAAGAGAAGTTTTCTGAAGTCCATATACTGAAATGTTATATATAAGATCATATACAGTATATCTAGGGCTCATCTAAAAAAAAATCAGTCTTTAATACTTTTAATGAAAGATAGACAATTATTATGTATGATTGGATCTGTTAGCTACTTATAGATAATACTTGACAGTGCAGTTTAATATTAAAATTTGTAAGATACACGTTTTAATACTACTACTGTTTTATTGGTTTCTTAT